GGGCGGAGGAGAAGTGTGGCTGGAACACGCCTATTTCAGGCACATCTGGCCAGCTCTTCTCGGGATTTCTTACTAAAGGGGTCGGGTTTCTCCCTTTTAAGAATAAACCAGACTTCTAGACCTTCCAGATCAAGGGCACAAAAACGCTGGGCAGCTGGCCCGGCGCGGAGGCAAGGGCAAGCCACAGCCGCCACCCAAAGGCAGTTTGTGCATGAGTGACTGCTTCAGGCTCTGCCCTGGCTTGTTTTCGGTATTCCTTTGCTGATTCTGATACATGCTTCCTCCGCTGCAGATTTAGTTACTTGGTGCCCGATTCTGCCTTTGGTTCATTATTAACATCTAACAATTACCACTTGTATGTGCCGGATGGTCCATCTATGAAGCAAACGAACCACTAAAAAAATCATACCTACCATTATTTATTATTTCCTTACTTTCCTTTTTGTCACTTATTAAAAATCCTACATGAAAACTGGATCTTTGCTCCAGGTAGCCAGTTGCCATTTGTTGTTTACATTTGCTGCAATTCAGAAACAAAGCTGGACTGGGATATTGCAGGGAAAAAAAAAATAGTAGGTTTGAAATGAGGCTCTTGGACTACACAAATTAATTGCATATATTGATTTTTTTATTATTATTTTCACTATGCCTACTAACATAATGCCCTCTGAATGTGTTTTTGAGATAACATGTAAATGTTAGGGACACTCTGGGTATTTTTCCTCCATCCTACCATCTGAATGGACAAAATTTGCTAGTAACACAAAACTAAACTGCAGTCTCCCAGTATTTGGGTGAGTTTATTCAGTTATTTGCATTCCTGAAATATTTAAAAGTTCTTCAGTACTCCTATCGTTCTTTGGTTGAGCGAGTCTCATAATTTGTTCTCTTGAGAATCCAGGATCTATCACAAGAGCTAATATAGCTTCTCCTGAGCTGGCCCAAACCTGCAGTTCTGTCTGGATAATTTCTGTTAATCAGACTCAGAGGTGACTTGCCCTACTAAACCAAGCTCAAGTTTGAAATACACCATGAGCAGTAGCCTGATAAATCAGAATATCCTCGGGCACAATTTATTTTTAACAAAAATACCTGAACAGAATAAAACAGAAAAACAACAGACAAAAAAATGAGATAACCCATTTGTTGTTCAAGAACATAATGTAAAGTCAAGTTGGGTTACTGTTGCACTCTTTCCTAAGTCAAGTTCTGTAATTCTACATATTAGATATGATATAGCATATATTAAATGTGTGTATATATATATATATATATATATATTGGACCAGATCCAGCCTCTACCATCATAAAAAGACTCCCTTAAATTTCACAGATAAATGTATCAGATCATTAAATCACCCTACCATTTTCATCTTAAACTATTTTAAAAAAATTGTAAACAAATGATGCACTTGAAGCTGCATTTTCCTTGCTAATTCTTCTCCAGACATCTTCAGATTGTCCAATGTTTGGGAAGTAACTTTGGATATTGCATTATCAGAATAGTAGATATTTTCAAATCTCTTCAGATTATTAAAGATTGTAAAAAAATCAAATATGCATTTTACTGGCTTATTCAATGAACAGATGAGTCTCTGATGTGTCCAAACAAATCCTGACTACAGGTAAATTTTCTTGAAAACACTTTAGGTGTGCTTGGGACATGACTTTTGGTTTTTAATGCTATCTGCTTTGCTCTTTCCAGGAAGCTGCATAATAAAATACAGACACTTTTGATTCCACTGTACTTTTGCCATATTTTGGGAATAAGAAACCGTAAAACCTGAGAGAAAATAAACAGAAAATGCCTTTAAATTCAAACTGAATTCCTTTAACAGCCCCTTTTCCCCACTGATTATCGCAAGACTAAAACTGCTCTAGACCTTCCTACATGGAATTCTTTACTGTACAGTAATGATTGTTTTCCAGATGGATTTCAACACATGTGATGGAAGGAATTTTTCTTTCCTTTTATCTTGCCTCCTTTGATGGGAAAATTACCCCCCTGCTGTGAGTTACAACAGGGCAGTTAACCATTACAAAAAGAGCAATTTCAGGGTGAGGGAAGTCAAATATGCTACTGTTATTGGTTAACAGTCAAATCTCTGCTCACTGCAGGTTTTCTTCTAACTAATAAAAGGGATTACCAAACATTTACCATCCTCAAATTAATACTATTTAACACTGATCGATTACAACCTGAAATGAAAATTTGGATTAAAAATATGCTTATGTGTAAAAATGCTGATGGCCTTCACACTGTTCTGCAGTCAAGTAGTGATATGTCAACTATCTGGTATTTTGTGCCAGATTCTACCACTTTTGGTGATCTTAGGCCTAATTTGCAATCACACAACATCTTTGGCATAGGAATAAGGCACTGAACGTTTTACTTGTACACTCATTTGGACTGTTGTGCTACTCCAAAATAGTGGTTGTTCTTTATGTATGGCCACACTAGATACTACAACTTTTGTGGATTGCAATAAAATATCACTTACATGGTACCAGAGCACGGCTAGCCTTAAATCAGCCTAGAACTGGTGGGAGAAATCTTTGTCCAAAGCTGGGAGCACATTGCAAATCCTTTGAAGAACTGCAGTGCAGAATTTTGCTCATAGTTTAACCTTTACAAAGCTAACAGATGTGCCTCTAAAGACTTCATCTGTCAAATTCAGCTGCTTGCATTTCTGTCCTCCTTCCCTTTACTTGTGCTGCAAGTGGAGTCTCACTGTTTTCTTACTCTTAAAAAAACCAGCCATGCCTGTCCAGCCCACTGTGGGCTACAGAGCCCACGATTTCACTCCAACCTTTTCAGAGCAAAACGTTTTATTTTCTTTAATAACAGGAACAAAACATAACCAGAGTGTTTCCAATACAGTATAAAGTCAGCATGTTTTCCATCTTGCCTAAGTACAACCCATGCCCAAAAGCTAAGAAAAGCTCAGATACTTCAGCCCATGATAGCAGGGCCTTCATCCATGAGAATCTGCTCCTTCCTTTCCAGGGCCTGCTTATTAGTGCTATTGTTTCAGTTTCTAAGCAATCTCCTATCATTCTCAACAGTAAAGAGACAACCTGCTGAACCCACTGACATGATTAAGATAAATGCAGAGACACATGATCTCTATGATGGAGTAACATCAAACCTCTCATCTTACTTGACGTCGATGCATGACCAGGTCATGTGTCAGGATCATATGATGGACCTGAGGTCACGTAACGAGCACATGTCAGGGGATGTGATGAGAACAGAGCCATGGCATAGCGACATAGCATCAAATAGGGTCATTTTTTCTGCACCAAAATGCTGTGAGGTCTTTGCTGTTTCAGGACCAGGAAAGATTTTGCAGCTTGTTGCACATCCCTGACAACAAAGCTCAGTGACAGCAAAATATGAAGTCATGAAGAAAGGAACATGTGCTAGTGCTGAAGAAAAGACTGACAGAATGGACAGAATGGAAAAGGATAAAGTTTCTAAACGCAGAATGAAATTCAGTTTGTTCTGTTGCACACAGTGCAGAGAATCACACTCAATAACTACACCTTTGTGCAGCTTATCTAAAAATCAGACTAAGCAATAGCAGCCTCTTTATTCCCCGTTGTATCCCTGTTGTAATTCTTGGGTAATCGGATTGTCAGCATTGATAGTTTAAAATAACTAAATGCCAGGCAGTTCAACTGTCACCGCACACACTAACTGGAAGAAGCAAAATACTGATGCACTGATGCAGTTGTAAATTTTAAAACCCATGTCACAGCAATTTCACCTACTTATACAACTGCGAGATGAAAAACTCCTTAGAACACCAGGATCAATTATTTTTGCTTTTTAAAAAAAGCATTACACAATCAAAGTTTAAGCTACAAATTTTGATGACACAGGTCTTTTCTAATTGTTCTTGAGACAGCTGAGATGATAAAGGGTTACATAGGGAAAAGGCTTTGGCAAACCCTTAGAGGCACATCAGGAAGTGGTTCTGCATGGAGAAACAAATGCCAGGGGGTTAGCTTAAGCAGAGAAAAAGCTGAAAAATATCTTTAATGTGGTCTTTGTATAGAGTAATGAAAGTGAAGTCACCCTTTCTAGGCAAAGATTTCTCAGTGTGTTACTGTCGTTACCTTTGATCAAGGCACCTGAGATTATCATTTGAGTAATCCTGATTCATTCACATGACAGAAATTATTCTAATTATGAATATTTTTAAAGTTTTCAATGGGCTCTTTCCATTTCTTTCTATTATTATTTGGCTGCACTCATCATCCACTAGACACTCATCTACTGTCTGGAAGCAAATTTATGGCGGTTTTTTGGTTGATCTGTTTTTTTGTTTGGGGTTTGTTGGGCTTTTTTTTCTCAACGTGAATAAAATGGGTCTCCTGTGAGCATTTCTTTTAGGAGAAGAAACAGGTAATAGGTTTGGGCACATCTTTGTATATAAGCAGGATTGATTAAATGTACAAATCATCCACTGGGAAGTAATTTCTCTGTAGACAAACATCTATATGCATTTCTACCATAATTTCACAAAAAAAGTTCTCTGAGCTTTTCTTCAGCAGGGGATGATACCTATGATTTCCTTCTCTTTCTGTGTATTTTTCTTTGGTGTTTCTGCTCTTTTTTTTTCCACATACCCCAGCTGTAATCAGACCAGTCCCTCATGTCTGCAATGGCATTCAGCCAGCAGTGGAACTAGTTGCTCACGTAATTCAACCTCACAAATAGCTTGTGTTTTGGACAGCAGGCTCATGGCTAAGCAAGCCTGTGCAGGAGCTAACCTCTCATTTTGGCTGAATGGAGAACAGCCGTTATGCCCATTTGTGTCAATGAGCTTCTTCAACACGCAGCAGATGAGCTTGACCCGTTGTTTTTTATGAAATACAGCAAACTGCTCCCAAAGGCTGGCACTGCAGGACAGACAGGATTCCTGACACGTGTGTACAGCAGAAGCAACAAGCAACTCATCGGTATTTAGAGCTGCAATAAATAGATTGCAGTTCTAGATCTCGGTTATCTTTTGTCAGCAGCAGTATAAAACCAGACATTCTGTCTGTGCTTCATCATTTATCCCTGGCTGCCAGTTCACACCAATGTGTTGCCTTCACCTCTAAAGACAGAGGTGATATTTGGTTACTGTCTGCCCTTCCAGACAATTACGATGATGACTGATAATGCAGCTATAATGAGGTACAGTACCAGTACTCACCAGTATATACCAGCCTATTGTATTGTACATATCAAAGTTTGTACCAATATATATTCGGTGTGAAGTTATGTCATCTTATTTCCAACTCTTTTGTTGTGTAAGCAGCCAGAACAACAGATGGACAAAGGAAAACTAGATCAACCTGGTATCTTTTTCCTTTTTTTATTCAAGAGTGTGAAGTGTCAGCTGTGTGAGACTTACTGCAAATTCACTGAAGAAACATTTCTGGCAGATACTCTCCACATGCCTCCCTAGATGTTGCATTCCAAATGTGCAGAGTCAACATAAGCTGCCGTTAGTTGCCAACAACGGTGCGTGTTTGTTTCCTGCTCTCCTGTGCTATTTTCTGTGCTGTCTGGTATTTCCAAATTTTGTTCAAGTAGCTCTGACATCCAAGGGTATTAAATTAGTCATGTACATACTGCCACCTGCTGTGATTAACCAAAACTAGAGCTAAAATACTCCATTTAAGTAGATTTCAGCTTTTTGTCAAGTATAAAGGGTGTAAACTCTTGAATTCAGGCATGCTTACCCTGAAACTGAAAACTTCTGATGGCTTCAGTCTACACATACATGTTTTCTGTAACTACCAAGGAACACTTTATTTAATTACTTCCTTGTGAAGTCATTTATCTTTGTGCAAAGTGTGTGTAAACCATCCTTCTGATTCTGTACATGTGAATTGGGCACTTTGGGCAGAGCCTCATCCACGTGTGTGGCTGTATGTACATACAAACACACACACAAGTGCAGGGATGGTGTCGGGCAGAAAGGAGGGGATAGTGTCAGCCCTCAGGCGATTTCCCTTTAACTTACAGCTCTGCCAAGAGCAGAATTCCGCCTCGACCCCCCTTGTCTTCAAAACCCCACACTGTGTTCCAGATAGCGGTTAGATTGGGGCACTCTGGGTGGGGCAGCTACACGGTTCAAATCATCTCATTAGCAGCATAATCACCTGCTTTTTAATTTCCCCACTAAAAGCAGTAATGAGTGCTGGAGGAGTATCTCCGTAACAGGCCCCGCTGCAGGGCTTCCAATGCTGGTGTTGCCTCGACCTGCTTCAGCAGAGCCAGCCCAGGGAGGGAAGGATTCCCCTGTTGTCTGCATTAGCCGTTTGTGCAGGAAAGCTGCAGTTTAAAAATAGTATGCAGTAGTGGAAGGTGGTATATTACTAATTCACAGAATCAAGGAAAGGACCTTGAAGATTATCTAGTCCAACCATTAACCTAACACTGATAGTTCCCAACTACACCACATCCCTCAGCACTGTGACAACCCAACTCTTGAACACCTCCAGGGATGGGGACTCCACCACCTCCCTGGGCAGCCCGTTCCAACACCTAACAACCCCTTCTGGAAAGAAATGGTTCCTAATATCCAGTCTAAACCTTCCCTGGCGCAACTTGAGGCCATTACCTCTTGTCCTATCACTTATTACTTGGTTAAAGAGACTCATCCCCAGCTCTCTGCAGCCTCCTTTCAGGGAGCTGTAGAGGGCGATGAGGTCTCCCCTCAGCCTCCTCTTCTCCAGACTAAACACCCCCAGTTCCCTCAGCCGCTCCCCGTACGACCTGTGCTCCAGACCCTGCACCAGCTTCGTTGCCCTTCTCTGGACACGCTCGAGTCATTCAATGTCCTTTTTGTAGTGAGGGGCCCAAAACTGAACACAGGAGTTGAGGTGCAGCCTCACCAGTGCCAAGTACAGGGGTCAGCTCCTGTTCAGCCAGCTGTCAATCAACACCCCCAGGGCCCTTTATGACTCTCAACCAACCAGCTTGCCTCTCTATTTTAGATACACAAGTAGGGCACGGAAATGTAACTGCAAGGGCTTTACTGGGGGCAGAATTGTTCTGCAC